CTCGGCAATGGGGTTGTTGCTGAGGATCGATTGAAGTAACGTCTCTTAAAAGGAGCTGCAAACCTCAAAGTGCTCTATAAACACTCCAAGCGTTCTTAACATTCAAATCCTAGTGATTTGAAGTTCATAATAATTCAACCAAGAGTAGATTATTAGTGAAGGAAGAACTGGCAAACAATTAAACAGACAGATTTGCAAGGGTAAGGTCTGAATTACTTTAAGAGAACAAAGTGTTTTAAGCACATAAAACATTATCTGTTCATATACAAGCAATCTATATTATCAATTATAAATGAATCTATTCAACAAAGCAAACGATTCATCTACTTGGCAAATACTTTGTTAAATTAAGCCACATTATTGAAGGCTTTTTTTTTTTTAATGAAAGCTATGTTCCTATTTTTTTTTTAAAAATTATACTATTAATTCTTTTTCAATACCAGACATTGTCATCTGAATGTTTCTACGTTGCACACTTTACCAAATGAATGACTTCAGCGTCCCTCTGGAACTCCTAGATTTAGACTGACATCACAGATACAGAAAATCCCAGAGAGGACACCCATGAACAAGCAATACACAAAATATTAATATGCTTAATAGTATGGTAATACAATCTATTATATCATCAAAATATATTAAGTACAATTGTTTAGATTGTCTACAGCACAAGAATAAGGTGGGGGGCATTTGCCAGGCAGAGAGCAAGCAGGCATTACCAACGGTTTCATGTTCAGATGGGCCCGATATGAAGGTGGTGTAATTTCAGGAGCTTCTTCATATTACCGGGCGACGTGCCTTGTCTATTACCTTCCTCTGGTCTCCATGGTTAAAGTCAGCCCTAGAGAAAACAAGAAGAAACTCTGTGTCTTGGGATTAGTAACTGTTCTAGACTATTCATTTTCTTTTCCATTTCATGTTATTCCGGTATCACAAAGTATATCTAAACTTTATCTAATTAGGGAGATCTCTTTATCTGACAAACAGCCCAAACTACTGAGATTCTGGGGGAACGGGAAAAGTAGATAGAAGAAGTCAAATAAACAAGTGGCGAAAGATGTACGTGACTTCAAAGTAGTTCTCTGCCAAAGGCCAAGGAATGTGGGAATGTGTAAAGTGAATTGACCTAAGATTTCTTTGCTTTTTTTGGGGGGGGGGGGGCAAATACTTTGGAGTTTTCAGTAGAGTGGGATTATGGAGCAATGAAAAGAATGCTAGGTTTGGAGTGGGGAGAGACTAAGGCTGCCTTTGAAACATACTGTGTGACCAGAGACACGTGATTTTGCCTCGATTTTCTCATCTGTAAAATGAGGATTATAATAATATCTGCAGTACTAGCTTCACAATTATTATGACGATCAACTTAGCTAATACGTGCAAAGGGCTTTTCAAACCTTGAAGCACTATCTACATTGTCAGTTACTATAACTCCTGTCTGTTTTGGAATTTGTTTTGGTGTCTAGGTAAACTATAATATGTTAATATGATGGGGTATTATCTAATTTTTTTAAATGTCCAGTATGTGAACACAAAATAGTATGCATGCACTAATGATCTGTTGTTGTTCAATTGTTCCAGCTACGTCTGACTCTTTGTGATCCCATTTGGGTTTGGTTTTGTTTTTTGCAAAGATTCTGGAGTGATTTGCCATTTCCTTCTCCAGCTCATTTGACAGGTGAGGAAACTGAGACAAACACAGTTAAGTGACTTGCCCAGGTCACACAGCCACTGAGTGTCTGAGACTGGATTTAAACTCAGGTCTTCCTGACTCCAGGCCTAGCACTCTATCCACTGCCCAACGTAGCACTGATTTACAACTCTGTAAAAACTTTGTGACTATAAAGTAATAGGAGAGGAAGCGGCATAATACATAAAGAGCTAGAGGAAGCCAGGACTTGGGTTCAAATCTTGCCTGATATTTATTGACTAGTGATTCTGGGCAAGTCACTTAACCTCTCAATGCTCTAGTCCAAAGGTATCAAATTCAAATAGAAAGGATCTTCTAAGACTATACTTTGCAGAGGAGGAGCCATTTTGCTCAAGTAGAAGAATTCCAATGAATTCACAGGTCCAGTCCCTATCTTTAGGTACATAGTAAGATAGGAAGAAATTATAATGATCAGAAAGGGTTTAATGATCCTGATGTTTTATTTAGTAAAATAAGTTTATTTGTAATAAAAAAAATAATAGGGACTATGAGACAGAGAGAAAGAAGTTGGTTTCAACCTACTCTTCTGGCTATAGAGTCCCTATGACATCAGGGACAAAGTCTCCATGGAATGAAAGTGATTCCTCTGAGTAGCAACTGGCAGAATTCCCAATGTCCGGAGAAGGTTCCTCCCTCTAGTGCCATTGCAGAAGGAAAGACTGACTAATCTGAAGAAAGAGGCTCTGGGCTTCACAGCTGGCCCCCTCACACAGGTGCAATTGGAAACAACCTACATGTTACTATTCAAAAACCACCAAGATAGCCTAACCAGGCCTAAGTCCTCTGCTAAGTCTGCTATAAAGGGCCTGAAACTCTACCTTTACAGTCAGTCTTCAGGGTTTTGTTTTGTTTTGGTTTGGTTTTTTGTTTGTTTGTTTCTGGGGGTTTGTGTGTGTGTGTGTGTGTGTGCATTTTGTAAGTCTGTCTGTGCATGTCTCCACAGACAGAAAGTAGGCTCTTTGAAGGCCAAGACTTTCCTTTTGATCTTTGTGTTGGGGACTCCAAAATGTCCCATCTGCAATAAAAGCAACTGAGGTAGAGCTCCAAGCCCATAACCATTTATTAAAGGAACCTGGCCCTTTTTAATGAATAGGACCTCAGATTTTTCTCACGGTCTGTGATTCCCCCTTTCTCCAGGGCCTTGGTTTTATAGCTTTTGGCGAGATGATGCAGATGATGCAGAGTAAAATTTCATTGGTTGACAGATCTATACCTTGACCCTCCAGGCAGGCCAGTAGAAAGCATCTGCACATTGGCCAAGTGCCCATGGCCATTTCCACACGTTGGGCAACAGAGACTGACAATGTGGGACAAAAGGACAAAAGCAAGCTGGGGGATTTTCCATGTCACTAGGACATCTCAGCCATGCTGGGCTCGGTCACTTACTCATCAGGAAAAAAAGGTGGAGGTTCTCTAGCTAGTTTCCTGTGATTAAGCAAGTGAATTAATAATCCACAGTCTATAGTTTTGAGGCCCAATACAAGAAAGAATCTATCGAACTTAATCAGTTATTCCAACATATATAAAATATGCAGTAATACTTGAACAGAAATACTGTCCCTATGGAAATCACACTAAACTGAATAATACTGATTGGAATAAAATGGGGGTAAAAGTAATCATTTAACACAGTCTCCCCAGTACCTGGCAGAGTGATCAGCATGTAATGGGCATTTAAGAGTCAGTTGCTCAGTTAGAATCTATTAAGCGCCTGCTATATGCCAGACATGTGCTACAAAGAAAGGCAAAGCAAGTCTGATGGGGAGATAATATGAAAACAATTATGTACAAATAAGCTATCAACAGGATAAATTGGAGATAATCAAGAGAGGGAAGGTACTAGCATTAAGTGAGATCAGGAAGAGGAAGAGGAGGAGGAAGAAGAAGATGATGATGATGATGATGATGATGATGATGATGATGATGATGATGATGATGATGAAATTTTAATTGGTCTTGAGGGAAACCAGGAGGTGGAGATGAGGAGGGGGAATATTCCAAGCACTGGCATTCCGGTCAGAGAAAATGCCTAAATCAAGAGATGGAGTGTCGGGTGTAAGGAATGGCCAGGAGGCAATACCCCAGAAGAGCAAAAACAAATATACCTAACACCTGTACAGGCTTTTTCCAACAACCCCGAGAGTTAAACCGGACATTCCCCAAAAGGAGAGAAAGAATGGCCAAAGAGAGAGTGAGGGATCACCAATTACCACCCTGCAAGGCTTTCCAGTTGTACCCAGGAAAGCGTCACCAATGATACGGGCCCTAAGGGGTTGTTCTTACATGCACGGCCCTAAGAATTCTAGGATTTACAGCTGGAAGACACATAGCAGTACAGATTTAGGACTAGCAAGGATTCTGGAGATCATGGAGTCCAAATGGAGGCCTGTGGATAAGAAGTGATTTGTTCAAGTTCACACAGTCCTGGCAGCGGTAGGATTCAAACCCAGGCCTCCGACTCCAAATCCAGTAAGTATTCTTTTCCACTGCCCTTGATCAGTTAGTTCAATCACCTCATTTGACAAATATGCTTAACGCAGTGTAGGTGGTGCATTGTAGGTGCTTAATAAATGTTTATTGACTGACAGGTGGGGAAACTGAAGCCTAACAAGGGTCATAGGGAATAGATGTGGGGTTTGAAGGTCCCTCAAAGGTCATCTAATTCAACTCCTTTATGTTATATACGAAGGTAGTGAGGCCAGAGGAAGGAATGACTTTTCCAAGGTCACCCAGCTCGCAACTCCAAGTTGGGATTCAAACTTAGGTCCCCTGACTGTAAATCTCCTGGCTGAACCACTCTCTGCCAGGCTGATCGGCACCTTCCCGGGCGCCCTTTCAGCCAGTGCTGAGGCAGAGGCAGAGCCAGGAAGACCAGAAGGAATTTTCTCAGGGTATCCAGCTCCCAACACCCCCAAGAGGACAGGGATATGGTGGCGAGCCAAGCGTGGGGGGTGGCGAGGAGGGGGAGGCCCTCAAAGGCTGTTTTTGTCCCCTGCCCCTTAGCAGGGCAGCTTTGTAACCAAGGCCACTGTTGCTGCTGCGGCTGCTGCTGAGTCAGACACTGTGAGCTTCTGCCCCTGACGTCATCGGAGCTTGCTCCGTCCACCAGCCTCTCCCTAGCAGCCAGGAAATTGGACTGGGGGGATGGGAGTAGCAGCTGCAGTAAATCTCAAAGTAAGGTAAACGCCTCTTGTGCCCTGCCCTCCCCTCTGCTCTCCTCCCCCCTGCCCACCTCCTCCTCCTCCCCTTCTTCCTCCTCCTCCTCCCCCTTCACCCTCTCCTCCTCCTCCTCCTCCCCTTCCAGCTTTTTTTTTTTTAAGCCCCTGGTGGAAGGCAGGCTGGGCTGTAGCGCCCCAACTTTACTGAACATGAGCAATGCAGGAAGTCACAGTGGTGACATCAGCGGGCAAATATCTGGAGCTGGTCCGGGCAGCAGCTGAAGGAGCCCAAGAGACAGAGAGAGAGACAGAGAGACAGAGAGAGAGAGAGAGGTAAAAGCAGGCAGCGCTCCTGAGCCCTGAGCCCGGGGGAGCGGGCAGCAGAGGAATCTGCACAGAGAGTAAGTCTGGCGGGGCGACCCCTTGCACCTTCCCCCTCAGCTAGCCCAGGGCCCCCCACCCAGAGCCACTGGCCCCAGCTGCACAAGGCCAAGTGAGTGGACAGTCTCCCCCCATGGAGAGAGGGAGAGAAAGAGAGAGCGCGATCAAGAAAGATTGCAAGGCCTAGGGAGGCTGGGTGCCTGGCACTGACTGGAATGCAGGCAGGGGCAGGGAGAGGCAGGAGTGCCAACAGGGCCTGGGCTGGGCACAACCACACAGAGGCAGTGCCAGCCTGGGCTCCCATCTGGCCTGCAGAAGGGGGCCCAGAACCCTCCAGGATCCACGGTCCAGGTCTGCAGCCCCGAGGAAGGCTCTCTCCTCCTCTCCCCTTCTCCGGTCCCCCAGCCCAGCCTTGGCTCGGACCATTGGAGCGTTGCCTGCCTGTCTTCAGAGACTTGGGGAGAGTTTACTTCCTAGGTCATGAACTAAGAGTTCCCACTTCCAAACAAACCCTCTTGTTGGCTGGTGCCCTCTGTCTCTAACATGGCCCTTGCCCACCTGGAGTAGCAGGGAAAGGAAGACCGCAGCCCAGGCATGGAACTGCCAGGGCCCAGGCTGGATTGGCAGATTGCGGAAACGTAGCCCCAAGTTTGCTAACCTGATTACTCGCGCTTCCACTGTCCAGTGCCCTATTTATAGAAGGATTATTTTTATTCCCTGCGTATGCCCTCACATCTGGCATAAGCGCAGATGCCAGAATCCCACGTATTGTGTCTTGTCTTTTCCGCGTATTGTATTTTTCTACCTAACACTTTAGTTCCCGCAAACCTTGCACCTTCACTTTGCCTATGTTTTGCAAACTCTGCTTATGTTTATGTGATGATTTTTGGTGACAAAGCACACCCCATCATCTTGCTTTAATATTCACACTAATCTCGAGAGGTTTGTATTCCAAGTACTCTTAACTCCCGTTTTACCGATGAGGTAACTGAGACTGAGACAGAGGATGTGATGGTATCATGGTGGACAGGGCACCATATTTGGAATCAAAAGATGAGTCCAATCCTGGCTCTGCTGTCTAACTACCTGTGTGAAATTGGGGGGAGTCAGTGACCTCTCCAGGCCTCTGGTTCCTCATCATAAAATAAGGAGGTTGAACCAGATGGTCTCTGAGATTTCCTTTATTAGGTCTAAAATCTTACCATATGTTGAAGGTCACACAGCAATTCGGTGCCAGAACCAGGTCTCAAACCCACGTCATCTGAATCCAAGTCTAGAACGCTTTCCACGTCACCAACGTCTTGATGGTGACAGTTAGTTGGAATGCCCTTTGCAAGGAAATGAATTTCCCAGGAAAACAAAAGTAGAGACATTTAAACTTGTATACAAAAACAAAGGAACTCTGCTAAAGTCTTCTGATCAGCCTGGCTGAGCATTCCCCTCTCCTCCTAGTCGTTGCCCACAAAATGCCATCGTCATATCGGCAGGTTTAGAGAAAAACCTCAACCAAGTGCAGGCTCACCTCATTTTACATAACAGACATGGTTGTGAAAACAGGGTTATCAACTGATTTTTTTTTCTTTTTCTTTTTTTTTTTTTTGCCAAGCTGAATCCTATTTTAAGTGGACCATTTACAGGAAACTAGTGGCAGTCCCTTGACCGTAACCACTCTTTGTTTTTTGGTGCCCAGGGCAGGCTTTACAAAACCGGTACTTCTGGCAAGCTGCATGAAATATGCCCTCGAATCAATTTTTTTTTTTAAAGGTGGGTGAGAGGAAGTGAGCCATCTGGTCGCTTCCTATGTTAACTAATTATTCTTGCTAAGCTTAGTTGTTTTTATTCTTTGAAGGATAGAAATGTTGTCAGCATCTTATAAATTTCGGCTCCTCGGAGCAAAGTACTGGTTGTCTACCTTAGTTATGGCACCAGGTGAATCCTTTTTGTAAAATAAATTCCAAATTTTATCTAAATTGTGTGTCTAAGGCTTTAGAGACAGGAGAATGTATAAGGACTATCTTCAAATTAATAAAACTTGTGCCTCATGGTTCTTTGTGGCAAAGTCTTTGGGCTATCGCTGATGGACAAATGTCATTTGGACCTTAAATCCTTGTTTTCATTTGGTTCCAGGACCTTTAATCTTCTTGCATATGGTAAGATTTCAGGGAATATACAATAGCCTTGGAAGACCTTGACACCCCAAGTAGGGGCAGCTATATTAAAGGACATATGCAAGAATTCACAGGGGCTTCAGAGAGAAGAGAAGAGAGAGAAAATTAGAATTCTCAGCAACTAGAATTGGAAAATTCTAGATGTAATGGTGGCCTGGGACATAGGAACAGACAGGGAACATGGATGAAGCTAATTTCTCAGACTGGTTCCAATATTCTAGATTATCAGAATTTCCTTTTCTAGGCCCCTCTAAGCCAGGAGTGGGTTTTTTTGTTTTTGTTTTTGTTTTCTTTTTTGTCAAGTACTCTTTTGGCAGTCTGATGAACCCTATGGAATCCTTTCCAGAATTATATTTTTAAATGAATATAATAAAATATATGCTATTGCAAAGGCAGCCAATTATACTGAAATACAGTTGTCAAAGTATTTTTTTTTAAAGTTCATAAACCCCAGGTTAAGAACACCTGCTCTGATCCCACCCTGATCCTACTAGGAAAGAAGCATCATGGCCTGGGAGTCAGAAATCCCAGGTCTTCCACTAACTAGCTGTGTCACCTTGGGCAAGTCATTTTGCTTGTGAGGTTCAGTTTCTGCATGTATAACACGAGATGAGATAATTTCTAATTTTCTTCAAACTCTAAATTTCTATGAAAGGAAATGAGAATAGAGCCATGTCAGATGGGAATAATAGGAAATAGCTGATAACCCCAGGACTAGCGTTAATTAACTTTTAAATCAGCCCGCATATCATTTGGTAGGTTCCAACAGAAGCAAATAGGGTTACTCACTACAGTTATGTATCAAGTGATAAGGTGTCATAGAGTAATAACACACTGGATATAGTCAGAAGACCTGAGCTTCTCTCTGCCACCAACACGTTCTTATATGACCTTGTAAAAATCACTTAACATGACAGAGCCTCAGATTCGTATATTAAAGGTGAAGGGAATAACTTGCACTAACCTATTTCACAGAGTAGTAAAAATTAAATAAGATAATATATAGTTATCAGTTACAGTTCTGCCCCAGGAAAAGCTGAACAAGCCTCTGCCTCCTCCCCCTTGTATCTCCTTTACAATGTGTGAGCTCACCTTGCCTGGGGCCCTGGTCACTCCATTACCACAGCACTGTATTCTGGCACTGACCCAAATTCCCAGCTCTGGAGTTACTGCAGCAGCTAAGATCAATGAGCTGGTAACTGTTTCGATGATGAAGTCCACAGCTAGGGAGTTGGTGGCAGTGTTTTCTAGGGTGCTTTCCCCTTGCGGTGGCAGCCCAGGGCCCATCCAAAATATTACTAAAAGTTAAGAAAATTGTAAAGGTCTTGGGAAGGCACAGGCTGGCAAAATGGGAAAGGGGAATGAATGGGAGTGGCTGTTTATGAGCTCTGATATGAGTCCTTAGGTCTTTAGTCTGCTTGAATAAAGCCTGTCCTTTCTTATATGTCTTGTTAGCCTGAGTGCTTTCACAGGACTTGAGTATCTTTTTTCCTTTTTTGTGGAAACCTAGTCAAAGTCTGATATTCCCGGGAGAAACCCGGGGTTAAAATACAACCTAAAGAAATTACAGAGAAAAAGGCATTCAAGATTAAACTCAGGTCTGCATGAGTCCAGAGTGGCTATCTGGTGGTTCTTGAGTTGAGTTATATTCTCTCTCCCTCTCTCCCTCTCTCTCTCCCTCTCTCTTTCCCTCTCTCTCTCCCTCTCCCTCTTCCTCTCCCTCTCCCTCTCTCTCTCCCTCTCTCTCTCTCTATCTTTCTCTCTGTCTCTGTGTGTGGGCATCTCTCTCTCTCTCTTCCCCTCTTTCTATATGTGTATATATGTAAAATATACATACACATGGGATATAAAGATATATATATATATATATATCTCCTTATAAAATATCATATAAATGTAGGCAGTTGTTTTTTTGGTCACATACCCCAACAATAAAAAACTTCTAAGCTTTCTCTCTCTATATATACATATATTTATAAATTTTATGTAGTATATAGTATTCATATATTGTATGTATTATAAATATACATAAACCATTTAAAAATGAGATAATAGTATTAAAATATATTACACTTATTAAAATATACATACACCATTTAAAATATGAGATAAAGAGGAAATAATCTTTAAATTTTTTTTAACAATACAAAAGCCTTTTACTAAAATATGAGTAATAATATTTTTATTTTTTGGTGAGGCAGTTGGGGTTAAGTGACTTGCCCAGAGTCACATAGCTAGTGAGGGTTACACATCTGAGGTCAGATTTGCACTCAGGTCCTCCTGACTCCAGGGCTGATGCTGTATCCACTATACCACCTAGCTGCCCAAGTAATAATATTTTTAGTGAGAGTAATGTACTTCTATATCCTTCATTATTTTTCAAAATCTTGGTTTAACATTTTGTGATATAGAGATTCAAAGGTCTGGTTTTAAGATGTTTATTTTGATCTTTGGTTTTGAAGGCTGTCATAGCTGAAAACAATATGATAAAGATTCATAGATTCAAATGGAAAAATTAAATCATGATTTTTCCATTCACCAATCACAAAAAGGATTTTGTTGAAGTCCAGCTGGTAAATTTCCATCTTTCCCATGTCAATCAGTTCTCACAAATTAATTTAAGGATGTTGCTTTTTTATGTTTTGATCTAATGGGATCGAATCTCACTGAAATTCTTCATTTGAAAATACTTCTAGCAGATTGGAAAATTGTTTCCAATTTTTAAAATGTACAGAAATGAGAGTTTTTAGGGGAGGACATGTTGTTTTCAGCCCTAAAGTCTTAGTTTTTTTAATGTTCTGTGAATTATGATGATTTCTTACTTGTTTAGTTGTTTTCAATCATGTATGAGT